CGGCGGCGAGGTCCCAGGCCGGAGCCAGCCGGTGCCCCGGCGCAGAGACGCGCGGCCGAGCGCCCCGGCCCCGGGCGCACCCCGGCCGGGGAGGCCGGGACGGGCGGACGATGTCTGCTCGCGTCCCGGTGTCCGCCGCTCGCTCTCGGGAGGACCTGGCGACGGCGGCGGCGGAGAGAGAGTCGCTGACGGCCGCGGCGAACCGGCCGCCCGAGCAGCCGCCCCCGCCGGAGCGGGAGGGCAAGGAGGCGGCGAGGGCCGCCACGAGCGCGGGGGCGCGGGGAGAGCCGTCGCCGGCGCCGGTGCTGGGCCACAGCGTGCCCCTGGCGGCTGTGCCCGTGCGGCCGCTGGCGCTGCACCTGGCGCACAAGGCGCGCGGGCCCGGGGGCCCCTTCGGCGGGGAGCCGCTGACCGAGGACGCCCGGGAGCCGCCGGCCGCGGCCGGCCCCGAGGAGAAGCCGCCGCCCAAGGAGAACCCCTGGACCAAAAAGCCTCCCCAGCACGCGTCCCCCGCCGCGACCGGGCCTCCGCCGCCGGCGCTGGAGACCCTGCAGGCAGGTCGGTGCGGGGCACGGGCGCGGCGGGCGGCGGGGGGGGGGGAGCGCCCGGCCGCCCGAGGTGCGGGCTCCTGGGTGTCATTCACCGCGCGTACTTACTTACATGGACATCGGGACGGCCGCGGCAGGAAGAGGTGGGACCTCAGTTCTCCTGCACCGGCTGGCTGCGGGCAGCTGGGCAGCGCTGCCCGGCCGCTGCGCCCCACGTGCTCGCGACTCGGAACCGGCACTGCCGGGCGTCCCCCGGGAAAGTTTCCTGGACTTGTCACGGAGGGTTGGAGCCTGTCGGAGCTAGGGGATTGGCTTGCCGGGGGGAGCGCACGATGGCAGTCTGTCCTTGTGAAGTAATTGACAGCTGAAAACCTTCAGGTCTTCGAAACACTGCTGAACAGTCGTGAAAAACGAGACGCCAACTGTAGTTGATATTAAGGTGCCTGGATAGTGTTGGGGTGTAGTTGAGATGGGTAGTTGACACTAAGAGTGGACTGTGGTTGGATGAACGGTCCTCTTCCAAGGTTGAGTTAGCTCTTCTTTGCTTAAGAGGGGGTTTATGCGTTTGCATTTGAATGCTAACTAGTGCCTCATAGCTCTTGGTGCTTTAGTTGTGGGAATTGCAGATTTTTGTTTAAAAAAAAAAATGGTAGCACACACCACTGCCCCAAAAAAGCAAAGCAAAGCAAAACACCATTTTTAAAAAAATGCTAAGCTAAATGAAGACAAATAGCGGTATCTTCTAAATTTGCTTTGTAAATTAAATTGTAGTAAATTAGTTGAAATTTTTACTTGGGAATTTTACTTTCAGGTTGTGTTTCTTAAAGGCTAGTAATGGAATATGAAATACTTGAGCACATTTACAGGTTTATGAAGGTCAAATGAGATAATGGATGTGCTATAAATGTTGTAAACCCAGGTTATGTTTTGTTTTATTTTGGGTACTGGATATCGAAAGCAGGAGTTTGCCACTGATGAGCTTCATCCCCAGTGCTTGGTTTTTTGTTGTTGTGTTGTTTAATTTTAGTTGTAGATAGGCACAATATATTTTTATTTTTCTGTGATGCTGAGGATTGAACCCAGTGCCTCACAAGTGCTGGGCAAGCAAGCACTCTTACCACTGAGCTACAATCCCAGCCCCCGGTGCTTTTTATTTTATTTTTTAAGATAGGATCTTGGGAGTTGTTTAGAGCCTCAGTAAGCTGCTGAGACTGGCTTTAAACTTGGGATCCTCTACCCTCACCCTCCCTCATTGCTGGGGATTATAGGTGTGTGCCACTGGGTTGTTTCTTCTGAGAAACTCTTCAAAAAGAGAAAGGTTGAGTCAGTTGAGTTCTTCAGCTTTTGCATGGAAGTACTCTATTAATTCTTGATAAAATTTAGGGCACTTGGGGAAATTTTTTTCTTTATATTTAGTATTGGCATAATTACCTCTTAGCTGCAAAGATCTATTTACTCTTAACTGAAGAGAACACTCTTAAGCAAAGTCTCCATAAAATTTGGCAATGAGGGACTGGGATTGTGGCTGAGCAACAGAGCACCCTCCTAGCACATGTGAGGCATTGGGTTCGATCCTCAGCACCACATATGCATAAATAAATAAAAAAGGTACTGTGTCCACCTACAACTAAAAAAAATTTGGCAAAGAAACCTTTAGTGGGTCATTTTATTGGCTGACTACTTCTAGACTTTTTAAAAAGTATTCAGTGAACTACCAAAATACAAACTCCTTGTTGAATCTAAAATCAATTTAAGAGATTAATTATCCTTATCTTACCTTCATTCTCCAATCTTCTTTGGAGACTAAGAATAAAGTCATGCATGCTGAGCTTGGTGGCACACACCTATAATCCCAGCTACTGGAAAGGCTGAGGCAGGAGGACTGTAAGTCCAGGCCAGCCTGGGTAACTTAGCAAGACCTTGTCTCAAAAAGCAAAGAACTGGGGATGCATAGCATAGTGATAGGGCACCTATGGGTTCCATTCATAATACCATCCCCCCCAAAAAAAGTGATACTGGATTTCCGTTTTGCTGAGGTCTCCACGGGCAACTCTTCTCCCATTTGCGTCCTCAGGAACACCTTTCTTCAGGCCTGGAGCACCGTAGTAACTGTTCTCTATTCCCAGCTCTGCACTGTTCTCCCACAACTTCTTTTAAGTTGAAAGACTTAATTAGAGAAGAGACTGGTGGTATAGGAGTGCACTGCTCTGAGAGATTTGGGTTTTAGTATTACTAACTATTTCTGGGTCCTGAAGTGGATGGAGACAGCTCCTCCAGTTCTTGGTACCGGAGTGCCATCTTTACAACCTGGCTTCCTTGAGTTTCTGTTTTCCTAAGCAAATTTGCAATTTGAAGAATAAGGAAAATATCCACGCAGGATGCTGTGTGCCTGTAATCCCAGTTATTCAGTAGGCTGAGGTGGGAGCATCACTTGATCCCAGGAGTTTGAGACTAGCCTGGGCAACAAAGGGAAACCCCATCTCAAAAAAAGAAAAGGATAATGAAATAGGGCCTGAGACGGTTTAGCTTTCAGAGGTGAAAGCTCAGGAGAGTTCAGTTAGTGATATGTTCATAGATGCCTATATAATTATTCTGTGGAAACCCTTTACTCTTGAAAGAGAAAGGGAAGGATATTACTTAGGTGTAACAACAGACTTAAACTGGGTCTATCTGGGCAAACCTGGAGATAGTGTCACTCTGTTGATGAGGTAAAGGAATTCCATCCACAAACTTTTGACAGGGGAAGTATCTCAGGACATGAATCATGACTTCTCTGTACTTTAGAATATTCTGATGTAAGGCAGATCCTTGATGCTCAGCCCTTGAAGACACTTTGTTCCACTTTTAGGATGGTTCTGGTGGAGCGTGACTGTTTATAGCAATCCAGCCAGATAAAGCAGTCTTCAGCCCAAGCCTGGCCCACCCCAGGTCACCAGACTGTAAAAACCTTACCCCAAACTCTGTTAAAGTAGTTTTATTAAAACCCTTTATTAAGATCACATATGGCCCAGCAGGGTGGTACTGTGTCTGTAATCCCTGCTACATAGGAGGCTGAGGCAGGATAATTGAAGTTTGAGGTCAGCCTGGGCAACTTAGAGAGGCCCCATCTCAAAATATAAAAAGACCTGGGTTTAGCTCAGTGGCAGAGCTCTTGCCTAGTATGCCCCAGGACCTGTTTTCAATCCCTGGTACTGCAAATAATAATAAGTAAATAAATCACAATATGGGATTTATTAATCACTTGCCTGTTGCTATGGTTGCATTTTGCATATTAAAATTTAGCCTACTACTACAATTTCACAAAAACATAAAAAGCATTGGTGTTTTGTCCATCTTTTTCAGCCTTATTTTCTGAACCTTTTTGTACTTCCATCAATCCTCTTTTCTCCTGATATCTGTTTCTTGGAAACTCTAATGACTTTATTGTTATTACCTTAGTGAAGTACTTTTAATTGAGTTATTCAAACAATATATATATATATATTTTTTTTCCTTATTAAAACCAAAACTTTGGGGGCTGGGGTTGTGACTCAGCGGTAGAGCACTCGCCTCTCACATGTGAGACCCTGGGTTCGATCCTCAGTACCACATAAAAATAAATAATCAAAATAAAGATATTGTGCCCATGTATAACTACAAAAAAAATTTAAGAAAACAACTTTTGATGTCCCCTTACCAAAAAAGTTCATATTTTTTACTGAAGAGCTTCTTAGAACTTTCTATTCAATTACCAGATAGTGTTCTCCATATATGTCTTTAGAATATAAAATATCAGTCTTTTTTCTTGTGGAACAGAACTCACAGTGCATGCTAGGTATGCACTTTACCTTTGAGCTATTTTTTGAGACAGGATTTCCCTCATTGCCCTGGCTGGCCTTGAACTTTGGATCCTTCTGCTTCAGCCTCTGAAGTCATCTGGAATTAGAATTCTTGTGTTTGGGCAGGCATGCATTTACCACCACTGCCGCCCCATCTCCCCCCTCCCCTTTTTTTTTTTTGCCTTACTGGGGACTGAACTGAGGGCCTTGTCTTGTGCATGCTAGGGAAGTGCTCTGCTACTGAACTACATTCCCAGTCCTTGATGCAACTTCTTATTAAAACTGCTAAGAATTATGATCATGAGAATAAAGGTGAGTAAATTATGCATTCTGTTGAAGTTTTTGTCTTGAGTATCCAGGCTCTTAAAAATAGTTGTCTTTATCTTGTTTGGGGGGTGGGTCCTGGGAATAGAACCCAGGGGTGTTCAACTATTGAAACACATCCCCACCTCTTTTTACTTTTCATTTTTAGACAGGGTCTCAGCAAGTTGCTGAGGCCGGCCTCCAACTTGTAATCCTGCTTCCTTAGCCTCCCTAACCTCTAAGATTAAAGGCATGTGCCACCATTTTTGGCTTCCTTTATCTATTTAGAATTATTTTCTTGTAGATTTCTGTGGTTTAGAAATAATATTTCGAAGGTATTGGCATATTGCTCAAAGAAGTTGTACTGGAGCCTAGCGTGGTATGGGTGTACCCCTGTAATCTCAGCAACTCTGGAGGTTGATGCAGGAGGATCACAAGTTTGAGGCCAGCCTCAGCAATTTAGCAAAATCCGCTCGAAAATTAAAAAATAAAAAGGGTTGGGAGGGCTTAGTGGTAGAGTGCCCCTGGATTTAATTCCCATTGTTGAAAAAAGTTTTGCAGTTTTATAATGTCTCACCAACAGTGTTTGAAAAATAAAGACATGTAGACCACATATTATGTAGATTTACATATATTTGGAGTCACTAGTAGCTTAAGTTTGTTTGGGTTTCATCTGTTTGAATATGAATGTGAGATTAAAGTCTGAGTATGGGAAGACTTTTTTTTTTTTTTTTTTTTGGTACTGGGGATTGAACTCAGGGGCACTTGATCACTGAGCCATATCCCCAACCCTTTTTTATATTTTATTTAGAGAGAGGGTCTTGCTGAGTTGCTTAGGGCCTCGCTGAGTTGCTGAGGCTGTCTTTGAACTAGCTATAGCCTCAGCCTCCATGCCTGACTGTTTATATATTGTTAACTCAAAGATTGCTTTATTCTCTAAATTGGCCATTGCTGTTGTTGGAATAATGTGTTACTGGTAGATGCAGGTCCCATGCTCATTTTTGTTTCTAACATTTACTTGTATCATATTTAGCTAGATGGTTGTGCCCTCTCTGGTCATCTTGCTAGGCGATGAGCCAAACTGAAAGACAGTGTGAAGCTGCCTTTTTGTTTGTTTGGTCCTGGGGATTGAACCCAGAGTCCTCACCACTGACCTGCACATTCCCAGTCGTTCTTTATTTGATATGGGGCTTTGTTAAGTTGGGGAGGCTGGCCATGAACTTGGCAATCCTCCTGTGTCAGTCTCTTCTTCGTCTTGGATTTCAGGAGTGCGCCACCTCCCCAGCCCAATGATAGTCTATCAGGAGTTGAGTTGAAATTTACTGTATTAAAAGTGTCATGTTTCCAGTTTTCTGTGTGCTGTTAACCAAAGAATTGGTCTGTCAGTTCATTATAAGTAAGTGGTACTACTTCCTGCTTCTTGACATGTAAGATCAGCTTGCATCTGTGTACTAAAGGTAGTGATTTCCTACTAGGAAATTAAGTTTTAGAACTATGAATTTTGTTGGGAGTTGTGGCTACACCAGCTTACTGAAATTGGTATAGTAGTTATTTTGTTAAATAGTTATAAAAACAACTCTTTGTATTTTCTTTAGAGCTCAGTTCCCCCAAAATTATAAAAGCAGGAAAACTCAAGACAAGGAAACCCAATAAGGTATGTCTTCATAGGGATAGTTCTTAACCACATTGACTGTGAACATTGTTGTTAGGAATTCTTAATTAAATTTTTTTTCTAATTGTTTCATTAATGTTAGTTTAAAGATAGTATTCTAAAGAATTGTATCTTTGATACAAATCACCATATGCTTATGTTATCACATGTATTTCAATTTAATTAATGTCATAAAGTAGTGCTCAAAGTTTGATCTAAGACCAAATCATTTTTGTTTCAAAGTGTTCTGTTTTTAGAAACTCTAATTCACTGGGAAGATATCTGCAAATAATAAAATATGGGCAATTTTTGAAATTGCTGTCACTTTTTGCAATTTTTTTTCCTATTTAAATATCCTAAATGAATTTGCAGGTATAACACATATTTGTTACTTTTTAGGCCAGTGATTTCAGCGATATGGCAAACTGGCCAACACCAGGAGAGTTAGTGAGCACTGGAGTAAGTATTATTTTAAGGATTTTAAAACTAAATAAATAAAATTAACGTATTTTCAACATGCAGAATTTGTTTTACTCAGAATCCAAAGAATCACTGCTGTGAGAGACAGATGTAAAGACTTGATGATCAGTGAGAAGGCTTTTTTGTTCATTTAATTTGCAGTCATCCTTGGATGCTGCACTTGGTGGCTTAAGTTTACCCTTGGTAAGCTTTACTTGTTTTTTTTCTGTAATAATAAACACATACTAAAAATTATTATTTTTTTTAATACTGGAAATTGAAATCAGGACTTCATGTTGGCTAGGCAAGTTCTCTTCCACTGAGCTATATCCCCAACACTTTTTATTTTGAGATAAGGTCTGTTATTGAAAACTTGGGATCCTCCTTCCTCATTCTCCTTTGTAGCTGGGATTACAGGTGTGTGCCACTGTGCCCAGCTGAAATTAATTTTTAGTGTCAAACTGAAGAGTATTTTATGTTTCAAATTTTGTGCTAGATATGTGTTTTATATACAGTGTTTTAAGTATATACCCACATGCATGTATATATGTGCATAAATCATACTAAGAAGTATGAAGTGGCCTTGTGAAATGGTACACCTGTGATCCCAGCAACCCTGAGAGTTGAAGCAGGAGTATCACACGTTTGAGGCAAGCCTTACCAACTTATTGAGACCCTCTCTCAAAATAAAAAAGGGATCACGATGTTTGTTACTCAGTGGTAGAGTGTCCCTGTGTTCAATCCCTGCTATCCCCAACACCCCCCAAGTATATAATGAATGAATTTTTAATTTAACTCTAAAAGGATCTCTGAAAGATGGCTCTGAAGTATCGGATCAAGGAGCTTTTCAAGAGATGCCTTGTATCTGGTTGTGTGTTTTCGTTTGACATTATATACCCTTTGGCATTTGTAATTTGGTGTGCAGTATTACTGGTGTGTAACTGTGGATAGCTTGATTTAAATAGCTTAATTGAATTATAAATGACATAGAGTAAACTGCACACAGAAAAAGCATATAATGGGTTAGGTTTCCGACCTGTGTCACATCTGTGAACCCCTCACCACAGTAAAGATGATATACTGGGCTGACGCAAAGCTTTCCTCACACTTTTTTGTAATTCTTCCTGTCCCCTTCATCCCTGCTGTCCCAGCAGTTGCTGATGCGCTGTCACTGAGTTAATTTGTCTTTCTGTGTGTGTGAACTCGCACAGTAGGCTTTTTTTCCTGGTTTCCCCTCAGCATGATCACTGAGTTCCATTCCTGTGTCCATCCTTTGTTAGTGGTGCGTGCTCCTGTATGGCTGTGGCACCATTGTTGGTTCACTTTGGGCTGTTTCAGGTTGGGTCATTACAAATCAAACCACTATGTAAGCATTTCTGTACAAAACTTCATGGATATATGCTTTCCTTTTTCTTGGGTGAATATAACAGTAGAATGGCTGTATCATATGGTAGCTATTTGTTGAGCTTTTTAAGGAACTGCCAAACCTTATACTTCTACCAACAGTTTATGAGAATTTCAGTTACTTCACATCCTTGGTAACTTTTAATATGGTCAGTTTTTAAAAATTAGCCATGCAAGGTGCAGTGGCACATGTCTCTAATCCTAGCAACTTGGGAGGCTTAGGCAGGAAGATAGCAAATTCAAGGCTGGTGTCAGCAACTTAGCAAGACCCTATTTCAAAATTAAAAATTTTTCAAAAAAGGACTGGGGATATACTTCAGTGGTTATAGCACTGTTGGGGTTCAATCCTTAGTACTAGAAAAAAAAATGTTGCCATTATATAAGTGTATTGCATTGTATTTTTGTGTTTCTCTGAAGAATGTTGAGTAAGTATATTTTCATATATATTTGCCATCTATATCTTTTTGAAGTATCTGATCATTTTTTGTTGTTTGTTTTTAAAAATGGCTTTCTTAGTACTGAATTTGGAGAGTACATTATGTTTTACACATAAGTCCTTCCTCAAATTTTAGCAGGTATTTTTTCCTAGTCTGCAGCTAGACCTTTCTCCAATTAACACTTTTTGTTTCCTTTTGTTTGTTTTAAAAATTAACACTGCCTTTTGAGAAGTCTGTTTTTAAAATTTTGATAAGTGTTTGTAATGTCTAGGTGTACTACCACATGTTTTTTGAAACAATAGTGAAAATGTTAATGAAAATTGTTCCACTCAGAAAACCTTTTTGCAGTCTCAGAGTGTCATCAGCCAAGGAAATAAGAAGCCACAAATTAGAAAAGAAAAAGAAGAGAAGGTTGAAAAGAGGAGTAACAGTGAGAGCAAAGAAAACCGGGAAACAAAATTAGACGGTCCTATTGAAAATGTGAGTGAGGACGAGGCCCAGTCAAGCAGTCAGCGGAAGAGAGGTCAGTCTTTGTCCACCTCATCTGACTTCCAGTTCTGGGAGGAAGTGGGGGTAATGAGGGTTGTGTTCAGCCTCTGATCTCTATTAGAGGGGGTTGTGTAATTGTTTAGGATAAACTGTCTGATTTACTTTTGTAACATTTCAGGACTATTAGGCTTTCCTGTTTTGCATTTTTTGTGTTTTGTGCAAGAAAATGGAATGAAGTTCCACTTCAGATATATTCTTAAAGTTTTAAATATTGTTGTTTAAATCTGTATTGGAACTGCTTCCTGTTTTTTAGGGAGTTCTGAGGAAATGAAATGCTTCATTATTTTAAGAGAAAAATGAGAACAACTTTAGTCAGTTTTTTCCCTTGGTACATATCCCTGTATAAGTTACACCTTGAGGGGCTGGGGCTTTGGCTCAGGGGTAGAGCGCTCGCCTAGCACTTGCGATACCCTGGGTTCGATCTCGGCACCACATTAAAAAAAAAAAAAAGGAAATAAAATAAAGGTATTGTGTCCAACTACAACTAAAAAATAAAATTAAAAAACTTATACCTTGAAGGAAAAAAAATTACTGTCTTTATATTCCTTTCCATTTTCTCTTCTGAACTAGTCACAATTTAGGGATGATTTATAAAAGCATATTCTTTTGGTGTTCTGGGCATAGGGAGACGTAGCAGGAGATGGGCTGGGAGACAGGCAAGGTCCACAGTGTACAGGGTCTTAGGGACTTGGAATTAGGGTTTCATTTTCAGTGCATGGGAAATCACTGAAACATTTACTTTTACAGAGGCAATATTAGCACAGGACGGGGGCAAACAACTGCAAGGAACAATCTATACTGTGCACTTGAACAGTTTTGTCTTTTAAATGAACATTAAATTTTTTGGGGCTGGGTGTGGTGGCACATGACTGTAATTTGGGAGGCTGAGGAAGGAGAATCATAAATTTGAGGCCAGCCTGGGTAGTTTAGCAAGACTGTGTCAAAAACAAAAAGCGGGGCTGAGGCTGTAGCTCAGTGGTAAAGTGCTTGCCTCGCATGTGTGAGGCACTGGGTTCAATCCTCAACACCACATAAAATAAATAAAGATACTGTGTGTTCATCTACAACTAAATAAATATTTAAAAAAAAAAAAGAAGAAGAAGAAGGGTTAGGGATGTAGCTCGGTGGTAAAGCACCCTGAGTTTAATTCTCAGTAATGCAAGGAAAGAAAGATAAACATTAGTTCCCTTGATACAATGAGAAAATGTTGATTGCTAAAAAAAAAAATAAATAGGTAGAATCTGATCATCAAGTGGTTGTTAGAAAATCTGACCCCAATTTCTTTCCAGTTTCTTAACCCACTTTATTACTTCTTTTTTCTGATTCCTGGATACACAGTAGTGTGTTTGTTTTGTTTTTTTGCGGGGAGGGGGTACCAGGGATTCAACTCGGGGCACTTGACCACTGAGCCACATCCCAGCCCTATTTTGAATTTATTTAGAGACAGGGTCTCACTGAGTTCCTTAGCGCCCCAAGGTTGCTGAGGCTGGCTTTGAATTCAAGATCCTCCTGTCTCAGCATCCTGAGCTGCTGGGATTATAGGAGTGTGTCACACATTTTTGACTTTCAAAGAAGGGCTTGTTTTGCCTGGAAATGTCATAGAATAAGAGTTTTCTTTTCTTTCTTTCCTTTTTTTAATATTTTCATATTCTGTTATCTTTTTTGAGAAAAAGGAAAAGGAAAGTTTATTGCTTTGCTAGCAAAGGAGAAACAGAAGGGACTCCTATCCCAAAGGCTGTGATTCTGCCTATCAGCAGGAACAGGGGGCTTTATATATATATGTTTTAAAAAATTTTTATTTATTTTTATGTGGATTTATTTTTATGAGGATTGAACCTAGTGCTTCACACAGTGTGAGGCAAGTGCTCTGCCACTGAGCTACTGCCCCAGCCCCAGGGGGCTTTTAAAGAGATGACTCAAAGGCTACATTCCAAGTGTTCTCTGTTGGAGTTGTAATTCACTTGTGAATTTGGGACAGTCATTTCTGAGATCTGGTGCCACCAAAGTCTGGATTACTTCATTCTTATGGTGGGTGTACTCAGGAACAGGTAAATCTGCCTAGGATGAGGAAGAAAAGGTAATCCTGTTTCCCCTGAGATTAGGGATGGGGAGGGATTAGGGAGGAGCAGGGAGAGAGGAAGAGAAAGAAATGTGTCCATTTTAAAAATAAGTTGCAGGGGCAGAGCAGCCAGGGCTATATTCAAAGCATGAAGTGGGCCTTGGTTCCATTTCCCCTCTGTCAGTTTCTATACTCCAGTTCTATGGGAAATGGGCAATGACATCTCCAGACTGCTTCCTGCTGAAAGGGGGAAAAGTTGGACGAAGTCACCCAAAGTCCTTGTTCTCTATCAGGTAGGGTGTGGACAGGTAAGAGCATTCAGCATCAGGGCAGTCCAGAGGTCCACAGTGGGAAGGCAGGTGCCTGGAGAAGGCCTGCGCAGGGCAGGGATCATGATAAGCCAGCAATAAACACAACAAAGCAATACCTTTTTGTTAGCAATTAGCACAGAAACAGTATTTCAGCATATTCCATGCTCTTAATCTGATCCATTGGTTTGCAGGATTTTAGGAAATCAGTATAGTAATTGTTTAATAATATTCTTAAGTTACTTTTGCTTAATTACTTGGGTAGTTTTTTTCTTTGCTTTCTTTTGGTCGAAAATTTATAGATTGGACAAAATACTGAACATTTTGAACCGTAAGCATGGAATGCATGAAAAAGTAATCCTGAGAGTTTTCCTGTCATAGAACATGACAGCTTAGCCACTCTGTCATAAGGGAAACTGAATTTGCTTATCTCTCTCTCCTTCAGTTGGGAAGATACAAAGGAGCTGTTAAAAAAAAAAAAAATATATATATATATATATATGGTTACATTTTGAGAAACCTCATTCCTCATTCTTTAGTAGTAATCCAGGATAAATAAGCATTTTAGACAAAGATCTGCAACTAAGTGTTTTGAACCAGGAGCCTGGCTTGGTAGTGTGTATTGTGTTTTTATTAGATAAACTGCATTTTCAAGCCTAGGACTTCAGTATTAGATAGGAGTAGTATATGTATGTATAATTTTGAGTAGCTTATTCATCAGAATTAAACAAAAAGTACCCATTATCACGGGCTTTTTAAAAATATTTTACTTTTTAGTTGTAGTTGGGCACAATTCCTTTATTTTAATGTGGTGCAGAGGATAGAACCCAGGGTCTTGCACGTGCTAGGCAAGCACTCTACCACTGAGCTACAACCCCAGCCCCTATCACTGGCTTTTAACTTAAGTTTTAGAAATATTTACAAAAATAAGTTTATGAAGGATCTAAGTCAGAAGGAAGAAGGTTGTTTTGTACTCTACAAATAATCCCTTTAAAGGCAAATTAAATCATTTGCTTAGATAAAATTCACAGTACTTTCAGATTTGCAAACGTTTAGTGAAAATTATGCGTTATTGTTATATGATTTTATTTTGTTTTCTTCAAGCTAATAAACACAAGTGGGTACCACTGCACTTGGATGATGTAAGACCAGAGAGTCAAGAGAGACCTGGATCCCGGAACAGCTCTCGGTGTCAACCTGAAGCAAATAAGTCATCCCATAATAACAGGAGAAATGACACACGAAGTAAGTCACAGTCTAGATAAGAGGACTTTGGAGAGCTTGGTGTTGGTGCTCAACTGTCTATAGCACAGTCCCTTTGAGAGTACATTGCTCACAGTGTGGCCCTCTAACCCCAGCATCCCCAGTGTATTTCATAAGCACAGGATAACCATAGCACAGTTAACAACAATGGAACTTAATACTTATACAGTGGACTTTTTACAGGTAGATTTTCCCAGTGTTTCTTACAGTTTGTTTTTTGGGACTGGGTATTTGACCCTAGTTCCTTACTAACTACTGAGCCCCATACCACTAGCCCTTCTTAATATTCTTTTTGAGACAGTGTCTCACTAAGTTGCTGAGGCTGGTCTCAAACTTGCTGTCCTCCTGTCTCAGCTTCCCAAGCTGCTGGGCTTATAAGTGGGCACCACTGCGCCCGTATCCATTTATTGTTAGTTGTAGGTGGTGGACACAATATCTTTATTTCATTTTTATGTGGTACTGAGGATCGAACCAGTGCCTCATGCCTGCTAGGCGAGTACTCTACCGCTGCCACAACCCCAGCCCTTCCATTTATTCTTTATTGCCAGATAGTATTCATTTGTTGACAGATAATTGACTTGTTTTTACTCCCCCCGCCAACTCCAGTACTGGGAATTGAACTCAGTGTGTTTTACTACTGAACTATATCCCCAGTTTTTCTTTTTATTTTTATTTTGAGTAAGCGTCTTGCTAAGTGGTTGAAGCCGACCTCGAACTTTAGATCCTCCTGCCTCAGCCTCCCAAGTTGCTGCACTTTTCATTTACCATGAACAGTGATGCTGTGAACATTGTGAAATAGGTCCATTTGTGAAATATGTATGGACATATTTGGTTACTTAAATCCCAGTGAGTATATTACTCAATCCTATAGTAAATTAGCTGGCTTTCGTCACCATAGTGAAATACCTGGCTCAGGCTACTTCTGAAGTAAGGAGGTTAATTTTGGCTAGTTGTGGAGGTTCAAGTCCAAGATTGGTGGCCCCATTGGTTGGAGTCTCTGGGGAGGGCTGCACGTCAGTGGGGAGCACAAGTCAGAATGAGTGGTCATGCCTACAGCCAGGAAACAGGAAGGCTGGGCTTCCATAGTCCCTTCCAGGGACATCTCCTCAGTGACCTGAGGACCTCCAAGTGGTGTGACTGAGACTAAACCTTTAGACATTTAGCACATGGAGTGCTTGTTATTGTTTTTTATGGTTATTTGGAATGGAACCCAGGGCCTCGTACATGATAGGCAAGTGCTCTACCACCGAGCTACGTCTGTAAATTTTGTGAACAAGGTCTGAGTTGCTGAGGCTGGCCTTAAACTTGTGGACCTCCTGCCTCAGCTATCTGAGTGGCTGAAATTACAGAGCACCACTCTGCCTGGCTTAGAATATTTTTCTGCTATATTGTATGTATAATTATCTATATTTTGCTTTGGGTTGATTGCTTTGTCTTGGTATATATATATATTTTTTTAGCATGTTCTTCTTTGATTCTTTTAAGTATACACCAGGTAATAAGAGCTAGGGATTGATTGATTCCTTTATTCATAGAAATACTTGATAGTTTTTTCTAAAGCATCACATCAGGAATAAAATGTCTGGGTCCTTTACTGTTGGTCCCATGAAGACTGAGTTGATTGGGATGTCGTTAGCCTTATTCATTTGTTAGAAAGTGGGCCGCTGGGGGGCTGGGGTTTAGCTTAGAGGCAGAGTGCTTGCCTAGCATGCCTGAGGCACTGGGTTCGATCTTCAGCACCACATTAAAAAAATAATTAAATAAAGGTATCGAGTCCACCTATAACTAAAAACAAATGAATACTTATTAAAAAGAAGAAGAAGAAAGAAAAGAATGGGCGCTGTGGCACATGCCTATAATCCCAGTGGCTCAGGAGGCTGAGGCTGAGGCTGAAGGATTGCAAGTTCAAAGCCAGCCTCAGCAAAAAGAGAGGTGCTAAGCAACTCAGTGAAACCCTCTCTCTAAATAAAATACAAAATAGGGCTTGGGATGTGGCTCAGGTGAGTGCCCCTGAGTTCAATCCCCATACCCCTCCCCCAAAAAAAAGAAGGGAAAAAAAGGTGGCCCTCAGGCTTTGCACTTCATGGTTTTATTTCATTAAAGATCATTCTGCAGCCACTCCATGTGCATAATCCCAGTGACTGGGGAGGCTGAGGCAGGAGGCTCAGAAGTTAGCAGCCAGCCTGGTAAATTTAGACCTTTCTCAAACACAGTAATAAAACTGGGGATGTAGCTTCTTGGTAAAGCACTTGACTAGCATGCACGGAATCTTGGGTTCAATTCCCAGCACTGTTAAAAAAAAAAAAAAAAAAAGGAAAAGGAAAAAGAAAGAATTATATTAGAAGAACTTTAAACAAACAAGCAAAAAACAATTGAAAGGAGCCAGGCTCAATGGCACATGTGCGCAAACCTAGAGACTTGGGAGGCTGAAGCAAGAGGATCAAAAGTTTAAGGCCAGACTTGGAAAGTTAGCAAGACCCTCTCTTAAAATAAAAAGGAATGAAGCTCAGTGATAGAGCACCCCTGGTTCAATCACCATTACTGGTGTGTGGGGGGGTGGACACAGAAAGGATTACACAATGAATACTTGCAAGCCAGTCTCGTTCTAGTAATTTTGCTGTGCTTAATTCCTTCATCTGCTAAATCATGTGCAAGATACCATATTTCCTCAGTGACATCAAAGAGAAAGCACCTTGTAAGAAAAGGAACACTACTTTCTTAGTACCATATAAAATCTAGTTAGTAGTTAGATTTTATTTCTCATTTGTTCACAAAATATTACTTTAAAAAATGTTTAAAATCTCATTTAAGATTTTGCTATTCTGATATTAAAGGACTCTTTTAATAAAATTAAGATTTTATTGTTAAATATTGATTATGTAAGAAAATGTATGTATAAAGTTACAAAGAGTTATATATTGTATTCTTATACAATGAACACTGGAAACTTAGCATTCTGTTTAAGAGACATGTTAGCAGGGACATAACATGTAATCCCAGTGACTTGGGAGGTCAAGGTAGGATTGCAAGTTCAAGTTCATCCTGGGCTACTTAGACCCTGATAGCTCAGTGGTAAAGTGTCCCTGGGTTCAGTACCCAATACCAAAAAACCAAAATCAAACAAACAAAAAAACCTCCCTATGTGGGCTTTGCAGTTTTATTCAACACTCTCCCATCTCAGAAAAAAATGAGATGGAATGTTAAAACTTTTGAAATTGCCTTTCAATTGGTGGGGGTGCGGGCGTGTAAAGGAATTAAACATGGCGGGGGCGGGGAGAAGAAATCGCTGTGCAGTATGACTATCCTGACATGTTCTTTGGCAGTAATTTTTTTACTCTTAATTTCCTGATGTGTTCATGCTTATTAGTTGTGTTGCTATAATTCATCTGTTTTCTTTCCCTCTGCTTAAGGGCGTTTCACTATTTTTATAAAATGTGTTTTACTGTTTCTGGACATTTGTTGTATCTTGCTATTGTTTTGGTACTGGGTATTGAACCCTGGGGCTCTTTACCCCTGCCCTTTTTGTTTTTGAGACAGCAGTTGCTAAGGCTAGCCTTGAACTTGTAAGCCTCTTGCCTCAGCCTCCCAAGCCACTGTGATCACTGGTGTCTTTTTGTTTTGAGGATTGAACCCACACCCAGGGGCACTTTACCACTGAGCTATATCTCCAGCTCTTTCTAAAATTTTGAGACAAGTTCTTGCTCATTTTCAGAGATCGGCTTCAAATTTGCAATACTCCTTCCTGAACCTTCCAAGTTTCTGGAATTACAGGTGGAACCAGAGAGATTTTTTGACAGATTCTTATTGAATCTCTTTAAATGTGTATCTTTCTGAAGACTGCCTGGCTACTGTCATCTAGTTACCCAGTGGGTGAAAGTGATTACTGTATTTTTATAAATATAAACGTGTTTTTTACAGCAAATTGAAATGTTAAAAATTTTATTTTTAAAGGTTGGAGGCGAGACAGAGAAAAAAGAGATGATCAGGATGAAGTGTCCAGCGTGAGGAGTGAGGGGGGTAATATCCGAGGTTCCTTCAGAGGTCGAGGAAGAGGACGTGGACGGGGAAGAGGACGAGGCAGAGGAAACCCTCGAGGTATGTCATGATTTTTGTTTTGTTAAATTTGAGCTGGGGGTAAAATAAAAAAGCCATTTCTAATTTTTTTTTTTTTTTTAAGAGTGGGGGGGAGAGAGAGAGTTTTTCAATATTTATTTTTTTAGTTTTCGGTGGACACAACATCTTTTATCTTTGTATGTGGTGCTGAGGATCGAACCCAGGCCGCACGCATGCCAGGCGAGCACGCTACCGCTTGAGCCACATCCCCAGCCCCAAGCCTTCTGTTTTTCAAATTATCCTTTTATGTTACTTTTTTTGGTCTGATAATAAAAATGGATTAAACTCGGGGGCAGTTTGCCTCAGAGCCAGCCACATCCCCAGTCTATTTTATTTTTTATTTTGAGACAGGGTCTCCCTAAGTTGCTCAGAACTTGTGACCCTCCTGCCTCAGCCTCTTGAGTGGCTGGGGATTATAGACATGTGCCACTGTTCCCATCAAGGTTTTAGTTTGTTATTGGCTCAATATGTCATTTTGTTTTTTTTTTTTTTTTTTGTATCAGAGGTTGAACCCAGGGGTGCTTAACCACTAAGCCACTTCCCATTTTATATTTTATTTTAAGATGATCTCCTTAAGTTGCGTAGGTCTTCACTGAGTTGCTGATGCTGGCTTTGAACTTGCAGTCTTCCTGCCTCAGCCTTCAGAACCACTGGGATTGTAGGCATGAACCATCACACCCAGCTGGATTTTTATTAACGAATTCTTCCCTTTTTTTATTTTAAAATTTATGATTACATTTCTTTTTCTTTCTTTCCATCAAGTAAACTTTGATTATTCGTATGGTTACCGAGAACATGGTGAAAGGACGGATCAGCCATTTCAAACAGAAATTAACACCAGTATGATGTATTACTATGATGACGGTACGGGTGTACAGGTATATCCTGTGGAAGAAGCATTGCTTAAAGAGTATATTAAGCGTCAAATGTAAGTTGATGTGTGATTTAGGCAGATAGTAAAGTCTGTTGTAATAACAAACTTTAATATTATTGATAATGAATGTTACACATTTTCTAACCTATTTATTAGTAAAAGTTGAAGAATGTTAACTTATTATATTTTTCTAGGAAATATTAGTAAAATAGATTAAGTGTTTTTTAAAAAGTCACATTTCGATCATGTTCGTGTATTGCCTGCATTCTATGATTAGACATTTCTCTGCTTAAAGGATATTAGTTAGAATGTCATTGCATAATATGACTATATATATAAATGTAAAGCTTTCTTCTATATATTATTTGAAATGAAACAGGCGAAACTTGGATGAAATTTGGATTATTATTTGCAAATATTTTCTCATTAAAATTTACAAGTGACAAAAATAGTGGCAGATATCTTTTGATTTCTTAGCAGTTGATATCTTTTGATATCCTTAGCAGTTTACTTCTAAATTCTGAGTTTTTTTTTTTTTTTTTTTTTTAAACCTTTGAAGTTCTTTCTTTGTGACACTTACTAAAGGGGACTGTTGCTTCTATTCTGCAAGGTCATGTCTTGCTCACAGTAGTTGCTTCCTGAGTGCTGAATTTGAAGTCAGAAGAATATTGGTTCTCTTGTTAAGAAAAAAACCCTCTGTATATTACCATTGTATAGGGTATTCTGCATATTTATACAGTGTGTTTATGTAGTGGCAAGGAGAAAACCTTCCCATGTGATTTGCATTAACCAACTTAAATGTTTTTTTATCCTGACAAGGTGAAGGAAGAGCGGCTATTTTTGAAAGGGCACAAGCTTTTAAAAAACACCTATTTTTATTTAAGAAAGAAAATGAACCCTGCTTTATTACTAGAAAGTGATGATGTCAGCATTTGCTGGCCCCTCCCAGGATTGGGTTGGCTTACAATGTGGAGCAACATGTTTATTTTGTTCTTGCTTCTTTTGTTACAGTTGATGCAAACACTGAAGAAAAGGGCCAAACACTGGGCAGAAAGTGCCTTCCTGTGGCTATCAACTTTGTACCATTATTCCTGTTCTTTTTGTAACTCTTGCTGCCAGGTCCCTTGTGAGACCTGACACTGGACCTGCAGCTCTGTGTCAGGACCCTCGGCCTCCAGTGTGCTCATACACATGAGGGAGGAGCAGAGCCACTTCAGCGTTGGCAGTTTGTCATGCATTGTAGAATGCAGAGCTTCTCAGATAGGACACCCAGCGAAATGTCTGACGTGGCGTTAGTCCTGACCCCCTTTTTTGTTGGTGGTTTCAGCACCAGGGCTTTGGGTGCATATTAGTGAAGCACCAGGTTTAGGGTGGCTTGTCCTGTTAGCATTCTTTGATTTGTAGGTCCAGCTTTGAGGACTCATCCTGTGACTTCGTGTCATTGAGGTGTCTAATATAGTATGTGCAGAGGCTGATGGGGGTTAGATGTGGTGTTTTGTTTTGTTTGAGATGTCATGTATAAAAGTCTACCTCACACTTGTAGGAGAATGATATTAAATGTATTTTACTGGACTGGGATTGGACCCAGGAGCTGACTCATGAGACAAGTGCTCTGCAACTGAAGTGCTATTTTCTCGGCTCTTCATTTTATATTGAGATGGTGTATTGCTAAGTTGCTGTCCTTTAGCTTGGAAGTTCTTCTTTCTCAGCCTCCCTTAGTAGCTGGAATTATAGGCAAGTGCCACTGTGCCTGCCTGATATTTAGTATACTTGGAAGAAAAAGTCTTAACTATTCAGTCTCTAGCAGCTTTTTTATATCATTTTAAGTGAAAATGATATTTATTTTGCTGTCCGAATGTTTGGATATTAATATTTTCATTGTTTCTTGGGAAAAATCTCGTGCAGCATTCAGATTTAGAGGTTAGTATGTTTGCAGTCTACTAAAATGTTTTAAAATACTGTAGATAACTGAGTTAAGAATGTATTTAGATATTGTAGTCTTCAAAAGTATTATATTTGAAGGGAAGCTTGTTACTGACTTGGGGAAGTTTGAGTCTAAAAACAGTTGTAACCAGTGACTGTCAAATGTCTGTTTTAATGTCCACAATTTTAGAATTTCACCACATGTATTACATGCCTACCAGACACTGTGAGCAAATAGGGCTTTTGAGGCATAACAAAAATGAGAATGTTCATTTCTTCAGTCTTTAAGAATAAATGACTGGCTAGTGTTACTATTTTTTTTTTTTTTTTTTTTTGTACCTGCAACTGAACTCAGGGGCACTCCACTGAGCCACATCCCCAGCCCTGTTTTGTATTTTATTTAGAGACAGGGTCTTACCGTGTTGCTTAGTGCCTTGTGGTTGTTGAGGCTGGCTTTGAAGTCAAGATTCTCCTGTCTCAGTCTCCCAAGCTGCTGGGATTACAGGTGAGCCACCGTGCCTGGCAATTTGCTAGTGTTACTGAGGTGTTAGTTGTATTTCACTAATGTCTGTGAGAGTTTTGCACTTTGATAGGGTTTCTTTCAAAGTTAGAATTTGGCCTACATAGTTCAAAGTTATTTAGTCACTGAGTTTTACTCCCCAAAATATAAACTGGTGTGCTTCCTTGTAATTTGCCACCCTCCTTTGAAGATTTCCCATGATTTGGAAACAGTGTAGGATTAATAAACCGTAAGCCTGTAGTAGGACAGATTATCACTGATGACATGGAGTATTGTGAACATTTTCTTCTGGTTATTGTCTTGCTCTATTTAGAACCTTATTTATATATATGTATATATTCTCTCTCTCCCTCCGCCTCTCCCCCGCCCCCCACACATTTTTTTGTACTTGGGATTGAACCTGAGCCATTATTATACCACTGAGGGATATCCCCAGTCCTCTTTGTTTTGAGACAGGGTCTTGCTGAGTTACTGAGGGTCCTATTAGGTTGCTGAGGCGGGCTTTGTGAACTTTTGATCCTTCTCCCTAAGACTCTCAAGTAACTGGAATTATAGGCTTATGCTACTGTGCTGTGCCAGAATCTTAATTCTCATTTTTCTATATGGAGGCTATTTAAACATGTATTTCTCAAAAGCTATTATTATTAAATGTATTCTGAAGGTTAACTTTGTGTGTCAGATTTGTAATTATTGATCATATTGGAAGTTCATCTTTACATTTCTCTTTGGGGCAAGTTTAAGTGGGCCTATAGTTTTGTGAAGAAGAAAAGGTATCTAAGCCTTTTCTGCATTTTTTTCTCCACATACTTGATGGTGTCATTGATAATTGTGGTTAGTTATATTCTTTGCTTTCTTTTCCCTTTTTGACCATGCTGGGTATCAAACCCAGGGCCTCTGGCGTGCTAGGCCAGTGCTGTCCCACTGCACTGCATCCCCAGACTTTATTTTGAGTTGGGGTTTTGCTTAATTGCCTAGGCTGGTTTGACTTGGCATCGTCTTCTTCACCTCCAAGGTAGATGGGATTGCAGGCTGTGCCACCGCGCCCTGCTCCCTCTTCACTCTCAATGTCTTACACTGTGTCTGGAAAGGAGGAGGAGGACTGGCGGGAGGAGGCTCAGTTGTAGAGAGCCCACTTGGCACGTGGGAGGCTCTGAGTTCAGTCTCTAGAAACACATGCAGGAAAAAGAAGGGGATGGAGGAGAATTTGGATCTTTATTCACATATGTAATAATTAATATGTGTACACATGTGCTTGTGTGTCCAGTAAATTTTTTCTATGCGCTGAATGATTACTAGGGTTCAAAAGTACTACATGATGTCAATATTTTGTCAATATAGAAAACAAAACTTCTATACATTTGATTGTGAATTCAACAAAGGACACTTCCAATCCAATAATATGATTTTTGCGGCTGGGATTGTGGCTCAGTGGTAGAGCTTTTGCCTAGCACATGTGAGGCACTGGGTTCGATCCTCAGCACCACATAAAATAAATAAATAAATAGATAGATAAATAAAGGTATTGTGTGCACCTTACAACTACAATTAAAAAAATAAAAAATGAGTATGATTCTTAGTGATTAAGGAAAAGCTGGGATACAGTATGTTGACATATGTTTAGCTTTGTTAGTGTTTTAGTGAAATAGAGGTAGCTTTGTAGTGAAATTTTCACAGAATTTACTCATTAATACTCAGTTATTGATTCCCCCCCCCCCCCACTGGGAATTGAACCCCTGGCCTTGTACACGTGAGGTGCGCACCTCACTACTGAGAGACACCCAGCCATTTTTTTCTTTATGTTGTTTTGAGACAGGGTCTTGCCATGTTGCCCAGGCTGACCGGCAGACCGGCTGACCTTGGACTTGGGATCTTCCTGCCTTAGCCACCCACGTAGCTGGGATTACAATGTGCCACTACACCTGGCTAATTATTAAACTATTTTAAAGTAAAATGAGCTTTTCGTTCTTTGTGCTTAGGTAAAGCTGATCTGAATAGAAGTTAGTGCTGGTTTTATGGAAAATAATCAGTATTTAAAGTTTGTGATTATCTTTTTATATCTGCCCTATTGTATTAGACCATCTATGTTATATCTTAGTTGTAATATGGTATTAATCAAATTAAAATATCCTGATAGCAGTTGATAATGATGATGGATATTTTTTGTCCTGTTGAATAAATGGATAAAATATATGTTTGTTTCTCTTTTCAGTGAATATTACTTCAGTATAGAAAACTTGGAACGTGACTTCTTTCTTCGGAGAAAGATGGATGAGCAAGGTTTCCTGCCTATTTCCCTGATTGCTGGATTTCACCGCGTTCAGGCTCTCACCACAAACCTTAATCTCATTTTAGAGGTAATTATTAATTCAAAATAATCAGTACTTTTCATTCAGTATTCCTAAGAACCTGCACTTGCTCTAAAAATAAAGTATTAAAGTTTAGTTTAAAAAAAAAAATGGTGAACCAGGTGTGGTCTTTCCCGTCTGTTGTTCCAGCTGCTCTGAAGATCCCTTGAGCCCTGGAGGTGGAGACCATCCTGAGCAACAGAGTGAGACCTCTGTCTCTAAATAAATAAATGAAATAAGCTCAAGAGTTTGTAGTTGGCTAAAGCTCTGGACAGCATTTCATTACTTTCTTTCATTTTACAAAACCTAAATAAATGTCTGACACCGGGAGCCCCTCAAAGACTTGCTAATGCTGTTGCCACCTGTTTCAGACCCAGTCTTTCAAACTTGAACCTTTAACTTTGGTCCTTTTAATCTTCAGGATGATGTAAAGTACTATGTATTCCCATTTAATAAAATACTGAGAATTTTTCCTATGCTATAGACAGGCTAATTTAAAACAGCATTTGAAGTTTGGCCAGAATGCTTTCCTCTTATGTGTCTTGTTTCTAGAAATGCTTTCAACATTTTTGTTTTTTCCTGTTTTTTTAGAAATGTGGCATTGAAATTGACCAATGTAGCCAATCCTGTCCCTTCACAACCCGGGCAACCATTGACCTCCCTTTGTTCCTGTAGTTTTGGTTTTCTAGAGTTAGCACATAGAGTTAGCATATTACGGACAGTTTGTGATTCCTTGACTTGACTCATCCTGGTTGCTGCGTGTCACTAGTGTGCTCTTTGGTTTTGCTGACTGGTGCTCCACAGTGGGTTGTTCCACCGTTTGTCCACATCCTTGCTGGACTTTGAGGGCGGTCTTCAGTGTGGGAGCTTGTGAGTGAAGTCTGAAGATCTCTGTGTGAGTGTTTCTGTGTCTGTGGGGTGGCTGTTGTGACTGCTGGAATGTGCAGTAAGCGTGCTTGTCCTGAAGTGGCGCTGACAGTCTGTATTCTGAAGTGGCTTTATTATTCTGCATTTCCACCATTAGGTATTGAAACTCCTTATTCCACAGCTTCATCAGCCCTTGATATTGTCAGGTGTTATTTTTGGTCCTGGGGATTGAACCAAGCAGCACTTTACCCTGAGCTACATCCTCAGCCCTTTCCATTTCTTGAGACAGCGTTTTGCTAAGTTGCTGAGGTTGAATTTGCCATCCTCTTGCCTCAGTCTCAGTTATAATGTCATGCACCACTGTGCCAGGGTGCATGACTTTTAAAATAATAAACATGTTGTAGTTTCTCATTACAGCTAATTTGTGTTTCCCTACTGACTGATGTTGTTGATCATCTTATATGGTCATCGGTAAACCTTACGTGTTGAAGTGTTTGTTCAAATCAGTGTGTTCAAAATCATTTTTATCAAAATGTTTTTAAAAGTAATTGTAAGAGTTCTTTATTCTGGATACAAGTTTTTTTTAATATGTATATTTTACAAGTATTTTTTTCCTAGTCTTGGGCTTCTTTCTTTATTTTCTTAATAGAGTTCTACGAATAGCAAGGTTTTTTTCTTTGTTTTGTTTGTGGTACTGAGAACTGAAGCAGAGGCCCTCTACCACTGAGCTACATGGCCAGCCTTTTTCTTTAAATTGAGGTTTTGATAAATTGCAGACTGGCCTCCAGCCTGTGATCCTCTTCCATCCCCCTCCTGAGCTGCTGGAGTTACAGGTGTGCTCCACCACACCCAACTTGTTTTGTTCTTTTAAGAGACAGGGTCTCACTGAGTTGCTTAGCACCTCGCTTTTGCTGAGGCTGACTTTGAACTCACGATCCTCCTGCCTCAGCCTCCTGAGCTGCTGGGATTACAGGTGTGCATCACCACGCCCAGCTTATTTTGAGTTCTTTTTTTTTTTTTTAGTTGGACACAATATCTTTATTTTATTTATTTATTTTATGTGGTGCTGAGGATCGAACCCAGGAACTTGCACATTCTAGGCAAGCACTCTACTGCTGAGCCACAATCCCAGCCCCTTATTTTGTTCTTAATAGTTAATTCATAAGTTTTATTTATTTGTTTTGGGTACTGTGGATTAATCTCAGCACCATAGAGCTATATACTCAGCCCTTTTAAAATTTCAAACTTCATCTTCCTATCTTAGTTTCCCAGGTTGCTGGGAAGTGTGTGTGATGAGCACCACATCTGCACAGTTTCATGGATATTTTTAGAACCATGAACTGCAATATCTATCATCTGTTAACTTCAGATTTTGTAATTTTGGGGATTATTAAAAATACAAGATTTTTTGGGCTGGAGAGGTGGTTCAAGTGGTAATGCCCTTGCTGGCACGCGCGGGGCACTAGGTTCCATCCTCAGCACCACATAAAAATAAAGATGTGTCCACCGAAAAAAACTAAAATATATATATATATATATTACGGAATTCTCTCTCTCTCTCTCTCAAAAAGAAATATATAAGACTTTCAATGAAAAAATTTTCAAGTATAAGTTCTTTACCAGCTCAAAATTCTTATTGCTAGGCCCTGAAGGACAGCACAGAAGTAGAAGTTGTGGATGAGAAAATGAGGAAAAAGATAGAACCAGAAAAATGGCCAATCCCAGGCCCCCCTCCCAGAAGCGTGCCACAGACTGACTTCTCTCGGCTGATCGACTGTCCGGAGTTTGTGCCAGGCCAAGCCTTTTGCTCACATACAGGTAATAGCTTGTCTTTTAGAAACAACAGGATAAGAGTGGGCTTCTTTGATCCATTTTACCTGTCTCTTGTTAGTTTATTTAGATTTAGTAGGAAAATTAAAGATGAACTATACATGACTTTTAATCCTCCAAATCCTATTTACACTGTCTCCCACATGATTATTTAAATAGGGATCTGAGAATTATGGGTGACGCTCTCTTGTGTTCTTGTTCTTAATTTTTTATGTGTACTTTGTCATGTGTGGAGTTTTGACCTGTCTTCTTTTAATTTTGCTGAATGACTGTGGATACGTTGTGTCAGTTTTCCCCGGGTAGGATTGAGCTAGTCTAATTGTTACACGTGTGCTTTACCTTGTCTTGCAAAGACAGGTGACCCACATTCTAAAGCAGAATCGAGGTTCTCTTTAATTTGGTTGTGTTTAGAATTTCTCAAACCTGCTTTAGTGTTAAGGATTTTTCCTGGATCATTTTTAAGACATTCCCTCTGGGAAAAAAATGTGCTTAAACTTTTCAGTCAGGGTGATGATCTACTGATGCCCTGGATGTCATCTGATGGGGATGTGCAGTGGAGCAGGTGGCTCACTGAAATGCATTGTAAATACTGGAACAAACCGTGCTGCAGAGATGGAAGCCACCAGACTGCCTTCCGTGTGAGAGTGTCCACTGCCGACCCCCGGGCAGCACGACAGTGGAGATGACCACCTCTGCCACGACGGAGACAGAGCCGGGGACCGCTGCTGGCATTCCAGGAGCTGCCTGCCCTTTTCTGTGTGACTGGACTCAGACGGCGTGGCTACTTTTATTTGCGGGGGAAGCTAATTGTTATCACTGTGGAAATACTGCAAGGTTCTGTCTTTTGTTTCCAGGCATATGTACTTGTGTCCAGGTCAATAAAGCAGAGAAAGAGAGGACTGCGTAGCCTTTCCCAGCTTGCCAGGCCCTTGGCTCTTGGTCTGCCCTTTGCCATGGTGAACATTGCATAACTCACGTGTTGAGATGTTTCACATGGACTGTAAGATTTATTAATGTGGACATTTAAGGGGTAAGAAATTGAAGAAATAAACAAGGGTATTTTTTCCATTATTCTTCAAAATGTATTTTTGATACATCAGTATAAGTCCTGCCCATCAGTAAAGCATTAATGATGGACAGTTTCACAGAGATTTTTATCTCATATTTCTTTGTCAGCCCTGTGCTTCTAATCGCAGCAAGCAACTTGGGGGCAAGTGTTTTAAAAAGTTGAAGAAATGTGACATTGTTTGTTTGTTTGTTTTTTTAAAGATATAATGGCTGATTGTAAAAGTTAGATTTATTTATTGTGTAAACTTGGGTCCAAGATGACATTTTTAACCAGCTTATGAACAATCATTGGTAAGTTGGATAATATAGAAAATACTTTTTCCACAGGGATAGTTAATTTAGGTCAGTCAAGTTGGTGATGCCTGTCCATTAACCATTTATGTATTATTAATAAAATTACAAGAATAAAATCATAATGTTTTGTATATTTTTGTGTTTTTTAACATACACTCAGATGGATGCACATACATATTTTCTTTCTGCACAAACATCAGTGTGTATTAAGTAAATGTCATACATTTTAGTTTTTTTTTTTTTTATCTTACACGTCAGAAACCAGGTAGCAAACAAAATGAGAAAATTTTCTTAGAATTATGCTTTCATATTAAGTCATAGAAATAAATATGTAAATCACTGTTTTCCACAAATCCCTAGATTTCAGACCTTGTGATAAGAAAGCCTAGTTTCCTGGAGTCAGTGGAGAAGTAATGTCTCACCAAAAATGTGAAGTGGAGCCCTGGGCCAACGTGTGTCCCCACAGGTGGAGAACAGAGGAGGCATTTCATATCCCTTTCCTTTCAATTAGGAGACCTTAAACTTCAGAAAGGACCCTTGACATATGCCTCTGAGGAGTTTGAAATGTAACATTTAATACCCTTCATCGGCTGCTGTTTTCCCTCTGTGGAGGTGGCCTTGTGTACCGTGGGTTGACGTTGGCACTGAGCAGAAGACCTCGGTGCCCCCCACGGGGTGGATTGTGGGAATGAAGCAACTGCTTTTGCAGTGTGTCCTGCTCTGCTCTGGATGTGCTGCCGCACCATCCACCCTTAAAGAACGTGCCCATCCACAAAGAGGTCAGAGACCTGGACATCTTGGGCTTTTTTTTTTTTCTTTTTTTTAAAAAAATGTGTGAGATGATCTCCTGGTTTTTCAGTAACAAACTGGGATTTCCTTAAAAGTGTCTAAATAATTTTTGTCTATAAAAATTTTAATGTCAGATAATCCAAATCATTTTTAAGTTCATTTCCTCTTGGAAGATGAGGTGTTTGCAACTATCTTTGACTTTAACTGAAGTATAGTTTGAAAACTTCATTGTAGAAGAAAATATGGGTGCAAAAAGCCATGCAGGGCGTATGTGTGCCATAAGTGTCATAACATGAAACCTGTGAAGTCTCACTAAGACTTTCAAGCTTAAAGAACATTTAGAGATGATTATTTAACAAGCTGTTAGGCTGGTGTTAAAAGATTAAATTTCTACACAAAAAATAGTAGCTAGTGATTTCCCTGCCCTGTGCCAGGTGCTGTTGTTTATACTAATTTAGTTAATTCTCAACAATAGTTGTATAAGCAACTGAGTCAGTCCCCAAATATTGTCAGTGGGATAGAGGTTTTTTAGTTTTAAAGCTTTATTCACTGTGTGAACATAGAAAACTGATGATATTAGAGAATTCCCTGGAAATGTTTTTCCCATTCCACCAGCACTCTCAGCGTGACAATCTCCCCATGTTTCACTTGTACTACTTTTGTGAATGAATTGGCAAAGGTGTACCATTAAAAAAAACTGTAGAGCAGCCTTGTCCAAGAAATATGTGAACCATACATGTAATGCCAAAAATTTTAGTAGCCTTAAAAGCATAAGACAATTTTATTAAAATTAATTTTTTAAGACAGTTAATTTTAATAATATTTTTATAGAGATTTTAATTTAGCAGCATGTTCAAATATTACAGCATATGGCCAATAAGGACTTTGGCTCTGTTTGTTCATGGGGGGTAACAGGTCTTTCCTGGTATGTGTGCTACACTGGTCCGAGCACATTTCAGGTACTCAGTGGCTGCATAGAGCTAATGCCTATCGTATTGAACAGGAGGAGTTGGAGAACTTCTATAAAACACAATACCACTGGTCCATGGGGAAGAGCCCAAGGTCGTCTGATTTCTGCCATAGAGATTGAAGTAAAACCTGGAACAGTCTCACACTGGGTCCTGTCATGTGCCTTGAATTTAGTGAATAAAAGGATTGTTGGTGTTAGTTTCAGCTTTCTGCAAGTAACATTTTAGCATTGTGGCGTTTTCAGTAATCTGACTTGGATGGGTAAATAGTGATGCTCCAGCAAACACTCTGAAATAAATTTTGTGTATACTTAGTTTTACATATTGCTGAATGTGTTTTTAAAAAATATTTATTTTTTAGTTGTACCTTTATTTTATTAATTTTTACGTGGTGCTGAGGATCTAACCCAGGGCCTCACACATGCTAGGCAAGTGCTGTACCACTGAGCCACAACCCCAGCCCCAAAGGCATGTGTTTTTTAAAACACGCTGTCTAAAGCAAGTCCGTGGTGCATCTTTTGATACAGGATGAAAATATAACTTAAAACACACTTTAAAAATCCTTGTTCAAAGTGAGTCCACATTGCATCTTCTGACCTAGGTATGAAAATATAACTTAAAACATTTAAATATTCTTTTTTGAAAAAGAACTTATTAATATTAAACAATTTGGTCAGTTCTGATGGCACATGCCTGTCATCCCAGATACTTATGAGACTGAGGCAGGAGGGTCACAAGTTGGAGGTCAGCTTGGGTAACCTAGCAAGACCCTGTCTCCAAATAAATTTTAAAAAGGGCTGGAGATATAACTCGGTGATAAAGCATCCCGGGGTTTTATCTCAGCATCAAAACAAAATAAGTAAAAAAGTTGAATTTAACTTATAATAGAGGATATATTAAAATAAGTTAGCAGAAGTGATAGTGTGGAGGTTAAAAAAAAAAAAAAAAAAGGCCTTTGAATTCTCTCAGTGTTGTTTTATTTTGTTTTGGTACCAGAGATTGAACCAGGGGTATTAGCCACTGAGCCATATCCCTAGCCCACCTACTTGCTCTTTATTTTAGGGCCTCACTAAATTGCTGAGGCTGGCTTTGAATTTTGCAATCTTGCATCGGCCTCCCAAGCTGCTGGAATTACAGTCATGCCATACATCCAATTAAAGTCTCTGTTTTTAAGTATTTTCTTTTTTCAAAAATATTTTTAAATATTTTTTTATTTGTTCAAATCAGTTATACATGAGAGCAGAATACCCTTTAATTCATTATACACAAATGGAGAGTTTTTAAGTGTTTTAAACATCTTAGAGTTGTGCACTTCAACGTGGTTCCACTGTTTCTCCGTTTTGCAGTATTCAGTTTGAGCTAGGGTAGGCAGCAGGACCCTGGTGTGGGGAAGCGAACATGGATAAGCCAAGGGAATGTGAAGAAGAGGGGGAGTGGCTGCTCTGGCTTAGGTCCTACCTAAACGCCTTGGATAAAATATGCATTTAGACTGTGGCTTAATAACATTGAGATTCCACAATTATAATTTATATTTTTTAGTCCAAATTTCACAACTGGATTGCCAAATAGACTTTCTGTTGTAAGTGGCTCACAGATTCTTGAGAAGTTAGAGTGGACATGTGCTCTGCGCAGGGGTTGGTGGCATTATTTCAGTGGCTTCACTTTTGAATATATTTGTGTGCATGTGTGTGTTGGCAAAGACTGACCCAGGGCGTGGCCATGCTAGGCAGGCAGTCTGCCAGTGAGCTGCATCCTCAGTCCTTGGATAAATATTATAATCACTCCATGTTTGAAAGATACTGGGAAGATTTTAGCTTAATTTCACAGATTGAGATTGATTTATCAAACCAACGTAAGGAAAAAAATGAAAAGTATTTTATAAGTAAGAAAAACCATTAACTGTAGAACTAATTTAAAATTTTAGAGTCTGCCCCAAATTCTCCAAGAATTGGAAGTCCACTGAATCCAAAGAAACACACTGAAACAAGTCACCTTCAAGCAATGTCTAAAGGTCTGTCTACCAGCTTGCCTGACTTGGACTCAGAGCCTTGGGTGGAGGTGAAAAACAGGCATCGCCCAGTGAAATTAAAGGTAAGTTGATGCAGAGGGTGAAGGGCGACACCTTTCGGGAATTTTCTGTTGTCAGATACGTGTGTAAAATTGGGAAAGTTCAAAAATGTCAAATCTGGAATTGTTGGCTTTTAGAAGAAATTTATGAGTTACTCTATGTGTAAAGTAAGTTGTCTAGATTTTTAAGGAATTTTGGGGGTCAAACCTAGGGACTTTTGCATATGCTGGACACATGCTCTACCATTGAGCTACCCCCCAATCCCTCATCTTTTATTCTTGAACATGATTTAAAAATAAAGTTGAAACCCCAATTTTGAAGATATACCCTTGGTAATTACTTAGAAGTTTCTTAGGACCCATATCAGGTATAAACATTTTTGGGTGATTTAATGTACAGAAGGAAAAGATGAGGGTTGATTTATTGGGGATACATGAGGAACTCAGATGGATGTTGCAATAGAAAAGGGCCATAGAAAACATTCTTGTGCTGGGCACAGTGGTGCCCAGTCACTCAGAAGGCTGAGGCAGGAGGATCACAAGTTTGAGAGGCCAGCCTCAGCATTTTAGCAAAGCCCTAAGAAACTTAGTGAAGCCCTATCTTGAAAAATGAAAAGGGCTGGAGATGTAGCTCAGTGGTAAAATGCCCCTAGGCTCAATCCCCAGAGAAGATTCTTGGGCTGCTCAGGCCCTGTTTCTGACTGGTGGTAGATACATGAGTACATGAGTTAATATGTGATAGAGTTGATTTGATCTAAATCACAAAGGAGACAGGTGGTGGAACATATCTGTAATCCAGCTACGTTGCAGGCTAAGTCAGGAGGGTGGCAATATTGTGTATTGAACCCAGGGCCCTGTGTGTGCAGAGCAAGCACTTTATCACTGAGCCACATCCCCAGCCCTTTTATTTATTTATTTATTTATTTGATAGAGCATCTCACTAAATTGCTCAGGGTGGCCTTGAATTTTCAGTGCCCTGCAAGGGGACTGAGGGATCAAGGAAGAAACTTGGCATCATCCTTGTGAGGTAAAGAAGGTTCAGAAGGCCGTGGACTAGTCCTGTCCTGGGCTTAATTTCACATCTCTGGGCCTTTGTTTTCTCCCTGGTAAATGTCACTGTCATGTAAAGGAGCTTCTAAGACCAGCTCAAGTCTAAATGGGTGTTTGATCCTTCTTTTACTCAACTTTGTGTTCTCTTTGGTTTTAAGTTTTACTTGGCCTTTAACAATTGCTTTTTACTTACAGTGCCAAAATAATACTGGCTTATTTTCTTTTACAATTTAGCTGCTAAACTAGTAATTCAGGATACAAGCTTGAATTTTTTTTAATGAAAACAGAATTTTTAATAACATTTCACCCCCAATATTAATTCAATGTGCAGAAGAATGATTTATCTTCTAGTTATTTGGTAGATAAAACTAGCATACTTAGTTCATTCATATTTGTTAAAATCTTTTGAACCATATAAACTTGGCATTTTTGTAGAAGTAAAATATCAACTATTTTCTATGAATCTGACATAGTTCTGTAATGTGGTTATGTTTTACATGTAGTAAATCCTAAGAACACACACATGCATGTGCACACACTCGGCATGCCTGTGGTTCTTCTCAGATGCATGCAGAGTACCTGAGGATTAAATGACCCTGGTAATGACAGAGCCGATGATAACTTAAGAGGGATTTAAACCCAAGCCGTCCAACTCTAAAGCATGCACATTAGCCATCATGCTATCTTGTCTACAATTTGGGGTCATTTAAGGAATAAGCCTTTTTTTCCTGCATGTTCAACTCAGCTTGTAGATTCTGGTCAGTTAAGCAGTAAGTGTGAAATTGAATGCTCTGACCTACACTGGCGGGTGGGCGGGTAGTGCTACAGGTTCTGTGGATGGAGTGAGGTCTTGTGGCTTACCAGTTCCTCCTCACAAACATGAAGCACGGTAAGGTCAATTCGTGGGTCACAGTGCTTTCTACACAAAGGTATGCCTTGGGCTTCCGCTTATGGGTCATTGAAAAACTTAACTTCATTCTGATTTCTTTTAATTTAATTGGCTGTCATAAAGTGAAATATGATTTTATGTTTGTGTTGAGGTTTAAGAGAGTCTTTTATATAGAAATGTAATGTAGGAAGATTATCTTCCAGTTAAATCTTTTTCAAAATGTTTGTTTAGTTGTAGATGGACACAGTACATTTATTTTATTTATTCATTTTATGTGGTACTGAGGATTGAACCCAGTGCCTCACATGTGCCAGTCGAGAACTCTGCCACTGAGCCACAACCCAGCCCCAGTGAAATCTTTTGAAATTGGAAATTCAGTATTTTTAATTAATTCTTAAGGTTTGAGTTTATAGACTCCCTCATTCTCTTGTTAATTCTCCAACTGCCTTTCATACCTCATGCCCAGTTTGAATGAGAAAAGTCATACATATATAACGCAGGTGATATGTACATATATGTAATTAAAGATGCTGAATTTCTTAATGCATCTCTATTTTATATGGGTGTGTGTGTGTGTGTGTGTGTGTAAGTAAGAGACCTGAAGACAGCTCCTGGTTGTATGGCTGTAGAGATAGCTTGTGCATATTAAATGTTTGTTGTGGGCCAACTACAATGCTAACCAAACAGCCGTTCCCCCCAGCATTGATTTTTCTTATACCACTACCAGATGGTGTTTATTTTCAAAGTTGATGGGGCAATTTTTATATTAAATACCAATTTCTTCCTTCAGGAATCAACACCTGTACCTGAGGAGGCATCAGATCGACTGTATCTTCCAGAAGCAGAAGAACTGGATTTCTTATTTGATGAGGAAATGGAACAAATAGAAGAACGAAAAAACACAATTACTGATTGGTCTGATAACGATTCAGATTATGAAATTGACGACCAAGATTTGAATAAGATTTTGATCGTAACTCAGACGCCACCTCACATGAGAAAACACCCTGGAGGAGATCGAACAGGCAGCGCCTCGGCTCGGGCGAGCATCACCTCGGAGCTTGCCAAAGTGATCAATGATGGCTTGTACCATTATGAGCAGGACCTGTGGACGGAGCAAGGTGGAAACACACCCGCCGTCGCACAGGTAATGACTTCGGGCCAGTGTCCTTCTGTTGGTAGTTTGTCTTGATTGTGTGTTGCTGCCTATGTTTTCTTAAAATTGAGGTTTATTTTATGAAATTTTGAATGTAAATAAATTATATTGTATTTGAAAAATTCCTGGATATATATTTGATAGTCATAATCTGACGAATACTTTAAAATGACAGTGTAATGAATACTGTACTTACAAAAAGTATCAGCACTCACTGACTTAAAACCCTTGCTTTTTTCAGGTGAAAATAATAAGAAGGCTCCTTCTCATTTGAAGGAATTAAAAACTGAAGTTATTATGCCAGGTCTTTTTCCCCCTTGTCTGGGATCAAGTCCAGGGCCTCACCTATGCTAGGCAAGCGCTAGACCACTGAGCCCCAGTAAGGAAGGTTGAGCTTGCTTGCTCCTCCCTCCCTGCCCGCCCGCCCGCCATGAGAGCTAGCAGTCACGGGAGGGCTGTGTTCAGGCTCGACTTCCTCTGCCTACCCTAAGGTACGCGCACTGAGCTAGTGGAGACGGTGTGGACCAGCTGTGGAGGACTGAGCTGGACAACGGCCTCTTTGTCCTGTCCGTCCCATGCTGCTAGGGACACACTTGAAGCCTTGTTCCAGTTTTTGTCTTGCCCTTCACCCCAGTCCCGGCCTCCATGTAGGTGTTAAGGTAAATTATAAGAGTGAGCCAGAGCAGTTCACTAGGCACAGCTGTTTCTTCCAGTGGTACAGGTAGGAATAAAAATAGGATCACCTTTTGCCCTTAAAGCTATCAAAAAAGCCCCATGGCTAAGTATTTGTTGTGGGGATAGAAGAAGGAGGGAAAGTTGAGCAGCACGTCCTACTAGGAAAGTGATTATGGTAACAGTTGTGGTTGTCCAAGGAGAGCGGGCCGTGGTGGCGTGGACTGGCCTGCTGTCCCTGGGCTTCAGGTCAGGGGGCCCCCCGTTTCCCGCCTCTTCTCCAGCCACAGCCCTTTTGAACAACCTCTCTCAAGCTGAATATGTCAAGTGACTTAGAGCCTCAACAGTCTCTGCCTGTGCTTCGTGAAGTTCAGGGTTGAAGGTTTTGCCTGTGTACATATCACTATTTGATTCATGAGACTTAGGTTCTAGGGGTAAGGTCTATCTCAAATCCCTTTTGGAGCAGAGATGTAATAAATTCTGCTAAATAATAGGTTAAAAATGGGCTCCCTCTATTCCTCCCTTCCCTGCATTGCCTGGCTTTTCATCCTAACTTGAGTTCCTGTGTACCATCCTGGTTTGTTTCTGCTTTTCTGTTTGAGCACATGACAATAAGATCCACGAGGCTAGGCTTTTTAGTTTATTTTGTTTACTAATTAATATCTCTAGGGCTAAAACAGTTTCTGGCACAAATACTGTTCAATTCTTATTTGTTAAAGTGACAGATGAATTATGGGTGAAACATTATGCACTAATCAAAGGAACCTACTGCATACTAGTGGTTCTGTGGGAAAATATTTTCAGAATTCCATTAGCAATCTTGCAAGCCAAGTTGAGAAACATGGCACTCATAGGCAGTTATCTATGTCTTTTAACTGAGGAGTAGATGGTAAAGTTAAGCATTAGGTGATACTGAGGCAGTTGCTGACCTTGTCCATTAAATGACCAGGGGAAAGTAATCTTAACTATATAGCTTTAAGCCTCATGGGTATGTTCGCAGATGTATCTCATCTTGACCTGATTCTTACCTGCATTTCAATCATTTAACTCACTCTCCTTGGTTCTGATTCTGTGCTGAACATGTAACTTCTGATCAGACTTTCACTTTCCCAGTGAGTCTCTTTAGAAGGGAGGAACTCGGCCATTTAACGTCCACATCGACTGAAGACCTACCGTGTTCCACAGGCAGTGTGGTGCTGGGGGACTGAGTGAAAGGAAACAAATAGTCTCTCTACACACCTAGAACTTGCCGATAATTGGGGAGTGGACAGTAAAATAAGCTCACAAATCATGATGCATTTTCTAAAGGAAAAACCAGTAGATTCCTGGTAGTCAGGGAATCTTGAGAGTCACATGAGGGTGCACCTGAGGTGTGAGAAGGATTGACTATGGTCGGTGGGGAACAGTTTTCCAGGAAGAGGGTGCAGTAAGTGTCCTGGTCCCCACTGGGGAGGATCGGGCGACTTTAGAAACCGAGAAGTCAGTTGTCTATAGTTGATACAAAAGGTGATTGTGGCTCTATTGGTAGGAGTTATATCACACTAGGTAGGATGGGCTGTGCTAAACAGTGTGGAATTTATCTCAAGTTCAAGACAGGGTTTTTCACGGGGCAGTGGTTTGTGATCCAGTTTTTGTTTTTAGCAGACCTCTGGGTTGCTGGACCAGTGAATGGATTGCATGGGGAATTAGTAGCCAGAAGAAATCCTGGTGGGAGGTTCTCAGGAAGCTAGCCATCGAGGGGATAGATGTTGGTAGCTGAAGGTACACTGGTGGCAGAGGATGTGGAGAACCCTCCTGGGTCTGAGCCCTGATGGGGGTGTACAGGGAAGTGTGTTATGGAAGCCTCAAGCCGGCTCCCGGAGGAGAAGATAATCAGGTGCGTCAGAAACTGGGTGGGCTGAATTGGACAGGAATCAAAGAAAGCCAGACTGATGGGCAGCTGTCACGTGTCCAGAGCTGTGTTGAACTAGACCAAAGACTGGGTATAGGCTGTTTCTGACATGTCCCTTACTGCCTAAGACAACTAAAATGGCCATCTAACAGAAGCATCTACTTAGAATCTCCAAGGATCTGCAAGGTAAGGTATTATTAAAGCAGTAGAATACTCAAACCAGTTCTGCCGTGAAAGCCACTGTGGGACTTGAGCTTAGTAGCTTTGCAGAAGTGCCCAAGGTCAGGGATTCCAACGGGAGCCTTGATTTAAATTAGTGCCCAGGGCTGGGGATGTGGCTCAAGTGGTAGTGCGCTTGCCTGGCATGCGTGCGGCCCGGGTTCAATCCTCAGCACCACGTACAAACAAAGATGTGGTGTCCACCAAAAACTGAAAAATAAATATTAAATTAGTGCCCAAAGGAACACACTGCCAGAGAAGGAGAAGTTCATGTGCATTTCCACTGGTTCTCCCAGGGAACTTTAAAGGATATTTCCTTGATTGTGCTGAGCAGAACAGGGAGGAAAATAATTGAATTAGAAACTCATCATACAACCAGAATGCACACTGCCTGGGTGACTGCAGTAAAGTTACAGTGATTGTAGCCTCTAAGTTCCTTAGACACCTACCATATGCAAACGTAGATCTGTTTTGAAGACATTCACCTTCATCCTAGACTAGGAGGTATTTACTCAAGTTATTTTATAAAGAAAGTGACAGCTCACAAAGTTAAAAAACAAGGACGTGACATACCACATGTGAAAATGAGCAAAAATAACAGCTAGCAGAATCAGACGTTAACATAAGTGAGATAGTGAATTACTAAACAAAATATAGGAGTACCATGTTTACCGTATTGAAGGAAACAGGAATGTGCAGAGAAGAAGAAATTCCAAGAATAGCCATAGAATTTCTGGAAGTAGAAAGAGAGCAAAGAAGGACAAGGAGAATATATGAAAAGACAGTACAGAAGTATCTACACAGTCTTGGCAGTTGTTTGGTAAGTTTCAGATCACTTGTATAAGGGAACATCGAGTAGGTTTTATTATAAAAACCTTTTATATTTGAAAAGGTAAGCAAAAAATGAACTTGAAATGGTGAGTGAGAGAAAAGGTCTAGAATGCACACATAGTTAAGAGCTTCAGAAGGAGGGAAGAAGGAGAATGGGGCAGAGTTGGTATTTTAAGAGGTGACAAATAGGGCCTGTTCAGAACTGAGGAGAGTACTACAAGTACTCTGAAGCCCTCCCCGGGGGAAAAAAAACAGATCACTTTCAAGGAAAGAAGAGTCACCAGACGGTGGACCCCTGACTTCTTTTTTTTCTTCTTTTTGGTGGTGCTGGGGATTGAATCCAAGGCTTTATGCATCTGAGGCAAGCACTCTATCAACCGAGCTATATCCCCAGCCTGCCCTCTGACTTCTCAACAGTAATAGATGAGGCAAACACAATGGAATTATAACCTTACTGTGCCCAGGGCAAATAACTCCAGCTATAATTGTATTCCTTGCAAAATATCTTTTAAGCAAGAAGGCACAATAAAAAATTTTTCACCAGCAGCGTCTCATTAAACAAAGTACAGAAGGTAGCACAATCACCAGACACAGTGGCACATGCCTGTGATTCCAGCAACTGGGGAGGCTGAGGCAAGAGGATCACAAGTTTAAGGCTTACCTTGGCAACTCAGTAAGACTCTGTCTCAAAATAAAGGGGCTGGGGTTTGGCTCGGTGGTAGGACGCTTGCCTAGCACGTGTGAGGCACTGGGTTTGATTCTCAGCACCACATATAAATAAGCAAAATAAAGGCCCAATGAACAACTAAAGAATATTTTTTAAATAAATAAAAAATAAAAAGGGCCTGGGGATGCAGCTCAGTGTTAAAGAGCCTGCCTAGTATGTGCAGGTCCCTGGGTTCAATCCCCAATACTTAAAAAAAAAAAAAAAAACAGCAACACATTATTCCAGCTGCCAGAGATTCAGAAAGGACAGCAGAACAAAACAAGTGTAAATGTGAGTAAGCCTAAATGAATTGTTAATGAGTAAGATAGTAGTTTTGTCTCACAGATTTAATAGCATACTGAGAGAAAGCAGTAAGTGAATCTAGTATCTATGGGTAGTTTTACATCTGGAAAAGAGCACTGGTTATTTTTAAAGTTAATAAAGTTCATGCTTCAGTTTGAAGCACACTCATTTATAAACATGGCGGACATGGGGCTGGGGTTGTAGTTCAGGGGTAGAGCACTTGCCTCACACATGTAAGGCCCTGCATTCGATCCCCGGCACACATAAAAATAAATAAGTGAATAAAATAAAGACATTGTGTACAGAGCTAAAATATATTTTTAAAACAAACAAAAAGCCATGGAGGACATAACCTTTAAATTAGAGAGGAAGCACGCGGGATGAACAAGGCAGCAGAGAGGGCTGAGCACTCTGGCTTGAGCAAGGCCGGGTTCATGCCCAGCCCTGGGAGAAAATAGAAGAAAGAACAAAAAGAAAAGGCAAGAAGGGTGGGCCAGTCGGGCCTAGAGTGCAAAAACAAGGTGGTATATTTAAACTTTATATTTAAACTGGCTTCAGTGAATAGATTGTAGCAGTTTGTTAAGTACAACCAGTTGTTTAAATGTGGCGTGCCAAAAAGACCAAAAGAGCAGAATGTTGCTTTGCAGCAACTGACAATCTAAAGTTCATATGGAACATTGAGGGACACAGAAAATCCCTTCAAAAAAAGCAAAGGTGAAGGACTCACACTTTCTGATTTCAAAACTTACTAAAAAGCTACAGTGACCAAGACAGTGGCACTAGCATAAAAATGAACCTGTAGATCAATGGAATAAAATTGAGGGTTTAAAATAAAGTATATGTCTGTTCTCAACTGATTGTTAAAGTGTCTATTCCATTTGGTGGGGAAAGAGTAGTTGATTCATTAAGTGGTGCTGAAGTCAATTGGAGGTCCATGTACAAAAAGAAGAACTTGGACCCAACTCACATCATATAAAAATAAATTCAAAACAAACTACATATTTAAGCATTAGAGCAAGAATTATGGAATTCTTCTTTGTTGTTGTCATATTGTTTTTGTGGTGCTGGGGATCAAGGCCAGCCCTTCACCTGCTAAGCTTTGGCTCTGCCGAACTGAGCCACACTTCCCGGCCCCTTGACTAATCTTTGATAAAGGCAATACAGTGAAGAGAAGATAGTATCCTCAAAAAATGGAGCTGGAACAACTGGACTTCCACATGCAATCAAGATGAGACACACCATTCGCAACAATTAACACAAGGGGATCGTAGACCTAAATGTAAAATACAGAACTATAAAAATCCTTAGACTATAAAAGACCTTGGACTTCATGTGACTTTCTGTACAAATCAAAGCATCATCTATGAAAAAGATGATTGATAAGCTGGTCTTCATCAAACTTAAAAATGTACATAAGGCACTGTAAAGAAATTGAGAAGACAAGCCAAAGACTGAGAGAAAATAGCAAAAATATGCAGCTATACAGAGACTATGCAAAAACAACCGACCTAATTTAAAAATGGTCAAAAGATGCTAAACATATGGCAAATAAGAATATGTCTTATGTCATTAGGGAGTCATAAATCAAAACAGCAGTGAGATATCTGTTAGGACAGCCGGAAACCAGAATAGTGACAACCAAATGCAGATCAAGCTGTGAAAAGATACAGATGAGCCTTACATTCATCACGGAGTTAAGAAAAACAGTTGAGAAATGCTACATACCTACTCTATGTTTCCAGAAGTATGGCATTCCCCAAAAGTATAAAGACAGTAAAAAGATCAGGGATTGTGGGGAGTGGGATGAATAGGTAGAGCAGAGAGGATTTTTAGGGCAGTGGAAGTATTCTCTGTGAAGCTGCAGTGGTGTGTACGTGTCACAGCTGTCAAAGCCCAGAGTGTGTACCACCAAGCATGAACCCAGTGTGAGCTGAGGACTGCGGGAGTGGTACCCTGTCAGTAGGTTCATCACTGTAACCGTCATTCTGGCACCGCAGGTTACTGCTGGGGGAGGAGGTGCTTGAGTGGCTGCAGGGGCTAGATGAGAATCCTCTGCTTTGTGTTCAGCTTTGCTGTGAACCCAGAACTATTCTAAAAAACGAGATATTTAAAAAACACATTAGGATAAAATACTTGCAAATATACATCTGGTAAAGGACTTGAATTTGGACTGAGGATATAGCTCAGTTGGTAGAGTGCTTGCCTTGCATGCACAAGGCCCTGGGTTCAGTCCCGTTACAAAAAAAAAAAAAAGACTTGTATTTGGAATATATCAGGACAACGCAATAAGATAACTCACTTTAAAAATGGACAAAGAACTTAAATAGACATTTCTCCAAAGAAGATATACGTAAGGCCAATAAGCCTGTGAAAAGTTGCTCTGTATAAGTACCCATCAGGAGAATAAGTCCACAGATGTTCATTGTAGCATATAAAAAATAGTGAAAACTCAGATTTTCAACAACTGATGAATGTGGTAGGTACTTCCATGTAATGGATATTTGGCAATCAAAAGTAATGAGATACTGAAAGACGCTACATCGTGAAAACATGCAGTAAGCGAGAGGGGCCAGCCATAAGGGACCATGTAGTGTATGAGCCCATTTATATGAGATGTCCTGAACAGCCAGATCTGTGTGCACAGTGTAGGCTGAGACAGGAGGATTGCAAGTTTGAGGCCAGCTTCGGCAATGAGAGCATTTATCTTAAAATTACTGAAGATGTAGCTTAGTGGTACAGTGCTTGCCTAGCATGCTTTTGGCTCTGGGTTTGATCCCCAACACCCCCCACCACCCCCCCCCAAAAAAAGGGAAAAGCTTCCTAAAATTGGGTTGAACAGCTAGGGGCTGTGGTGGGTGGTTGGGAGAAGTGTGAAGTGATGCTAATGGACATTGAGTTTCTTTGGGGGATGATGAAAACATTCTAAAATTGCTTGATAATGGTTGCAAAACAATATTAAAAAATGACTGAATTTTACACTTCAGTGAATTGTACCATAAATGAAATATATGTTACTAAAGGAGTCATTAAAAAAAAAAAAACATAAGCTGGGTATGGTGGGGCATACCTGTAATCCTAGTTACTTGGGAGACCGAGGTTTGGTGGAGCCCAGAAGTTCAAGGACAGCCTAGACAGCATAGTAAGATCTTGTCTCAAAAATAAGTAAATAAATGGAAGAGCATCCCATGTTCATGAATGACTCGATGTTGTTAGTGTGACAATACTACCCAAAGCAATACCTCAAATAGCTAAAACATTCTTGAAAAATTTGGGTTTGATCCCCAACACCCACACCCCCCCAGAAAAAGAGTTTATAAGCTTTTGAAAAGATACTCAAATTTACCACGCAGTATACAAATACAGGTCAGTTGTGCAAGTGAAAATCATGATATTGTCCATTCAAATGTCTATTATTGAAACTAAGTGTTAAAAAGAATGTGGGGAATCTGGAATCCCATACACTGTTGATGGGAATGTAAATTGGTGTACCCAAAGTGGAAAATTAAACAAAAGCTATGGAGGAAAAAAAAGTTAACAAGCAGAAATATTATGTTATCGAGCCATTCCAATTCTATGTATATATCCGAAATAATTGAAAGGACCTAAAAGAGCAATTTACACATCCTTGTTTATAGCAGCAGCATTCGCAATAATCAAGAGGTGGAAGTAATCCAGATGACCTTCAATGGGTGATGAAACAAAACGTGGTATGTAAATAGGGTAAAGTATTATTCAACCTTCAGCCTACACAGGAAGGAAAGCCTGCCTTACGCTACACAGGTGAACTTGATGGACTTTGTGTAAGGGAAATTCTCAGAAAAAGACAAATACTGCATGGGTTCACTTACGAAATCTCTCAAGTGGGGAAATTTGTAGAACCAAAATGAAAGGTGATCACTGGGAGCTGAGGGAAAGGTAAAATGGGACACTGTGGAACAGGTAGAGGGTTTCCATTTTGCTAGGTAGAAGAGATCTGTAGCTGAGCATACTTAACACTATTGAACTGCACACTTTAAAAAGTTAAGATAAAGTGGTATGCTTTCTTCACCCAATTAAATTTAAAAAATTGAAATCCTAACACGCTCAAACACAACAAAACAAAAGAAATATACTGATATCAGAACAGATTTAACAAAGAAGGCTTGGAGGCAGAGAGGATTAATAATGCTGAAATGTGTCATGTTATAAGAGCTGAGGTTCATCGGGAAGGTAGAATTTAAAAATCAGTGTACTTAATATAAAAGCTTCAGGTATATGAAACAGATTAATAGAACAAATCTACACTCACAGTGATTTAATTTACTCTAATTAAATACGGGCAAATTAGGCAATAAAACAGGGTTATTCCAGAAACATCTCTGTGCCTGGGAACAGCAGAGTATATGTTCTCTTAAGCATTTCTCTGGTTCTTTGACCTATATTGGTTTATAATGTGAATTTCAACTAGGGGAATTATGCTAGTGGTTAATAATAAAAATGTGAAGGTAAAGTGATAATTCCCTCTGTACTTGGAAACAATGATATATTCTTAAATAACTCACTGCTTAAAATAAGTAGCAGAATCCAATGAATTGTGTCAAACACACAAAAGAGGTTTAGTCATCCCTGGGCTTAGTTTTTTGAAGAGACTAAAACTTAGGACAAAGAAGAGGAAAGTGGATGCTTCATATGAAAAAATGAGAGATGGTATTAATGTTCATGTAGCTATTTTGAAAGATGGTTTGGGTCAAATTTGAACATTTACATTACAGCAGACTTTTAGAAAAAGATGCAAATTTCCAAAACTGGATGGAAAAAATTCCAAATAATGAAATAGCCATTTTTTAATTTTAAATTTTACTTTTGATGTTTTAATTTTTTATTAGAGATTTATGGTTATACATAGTAGTTGGGTTCATCCCAAACTCATAAATGCATGGAAATCAATTTCAGTTCATGATCCCCATTTTTTCTCCCCCCTTTTTTCTTCCATCCTCCCCTCTTCCATTCTCCTTCCTCTACTAGACACCCTCTTGCTCATCTATTGTGTTTGGTTCTATTATCATATATATATGATATATATATTTATATATATTTGTAGATGGACACAATACCTTTATTTATTTTTATGTGGTGCTGAGGATCAAACCTGGTGCCCCACAAGATGCGAGGCAAGCCCTCTACCACTGAGCTGCAACCCCAGCCCCTGGCTCTGTTATCTTATCCTTCCCTCCCCCTTTTCTTTATTTTATTTCAGCTTCTGAGTATGAGAGAAAACATTTGACCTTTGAGTTTCTGAGTTTGACTAATTTCACTTAGCATATTTTCCATATCCATCCATTTACCAGCAAATGTCATAATTTTATTCTTTTTAAAATGCCATAATTTAGTTTTTTAATTGGCTGACTAGAACTGCATTGTATATGTGTGAGTGTGTGTGTGTGTGTGTGTGTACACACACACACACACACATACATACCACAACTTCTTAATCCATTCATCTATTGACAGGAACCTGTGATGATTCCATAATTCAGCTATTGTGAGTTGAGCTGGTATAAACATTGAGATGGCTCTGTAGCTACAGTATGCCGATTTTAGATCTTTGGGGAAAATAACAAGGAGTGGGATATAACTGGGTCATATGGTGATTCCAACCCTAGGTTTTTGAGGTCTCTGCATACTGCTTTCCAGAGCTGTTGTACTGGTCTGTAGTCCCACCAACAATGTACAAGTGTTCCTTTCTCCCCACAAACTCACCAGCATTTATTATGGTTTATATTTTTTATATATTGCCATTCTAACTGGAGTGGGATCAAACCTTAGTGTGTGTGTGTGTGTGTGAATATATATATATATATATATATATATATATATATATATATATATATACTTTGCTTTTGCCTGATTGCTAGAAATTTTGAGCATTTTTTTGTATATTTATTGGCCTCTTTTTTTTCCTATTGAGAAGTTTCTGTTTAATTTTTTTGCCTGTTTATAGTTAGGTTATTTGTTTCTTTTTGAGTTCTTTGTGTTTTCTGGATATTAATTCCGGATATTAATTCCTTATTGGAGGAGTAGCTGGTCAAAATTTTCTAATTCTGTAGGCTCTGTCTCCATAGCTGGGCAGGAACTTTTTAGTTTGATGGCATCCTACTTGTTATTATTGGTTTTATTTTTTTTGTGTGTGTGCTTTCGGGGTCTTATTAAGGAAGACTGTACAGCACCTATATGATGGAGTGTTGGCCCTATGTTTTTTTCTAGCAGCTTTAAGGTTTCAGGTCTAATTCTTTCTTAAATCTTTGAATTGAGAGTTTTGTGCAAGGGTGAGAAAGAGGAGTCAAATTTCATTTTTCTACAAACAGCCATCCAGTTTTCCCTGTGCAATTTGTTAAAAGGCTGTCTTTTCTCCAAGATCTACTTTTGGTACCTTTGTAAAATATCAGGTGGGCTATAGGTTGTGTGTTTGTCTCTGTGTCTTCAATTCTATTCCATTGGTCTTCATGTAGTAAAATTTCAGATCAGTTATTGTGATGCCTCCTGCTTCACTTTTCTTGTTTAGTATTGCTTTGGTTAATATGGGTCTTTTTTTTTTTTTTTTTTTAGGTGGGGTGCCAGGAACTGAATTCAGGGGCATTTGACCACTGAGCCATATTCCCAGCCTGATTTTTTTTTTTAAGAGGCAGGGTCTCACTGAGTTGCTTAGTGCCTTGCTTTTGCTGAGGCTGGCTTCGAACTCATGATCCTCCTGCATTAGCCTCCCAAGCTGCTGGTGCTGGGGTTACAGGTGTGTATTACCATGCCTGGCTTATTCTGGGTCTTTTATTCTTCCAAATGAATTTAACAATGTGTTTTTTTTCCTAATTCTGTGAAGAATGTCATTGGTATTTTGATGGAGATTGCATTGAATCTCTATATTGCTTTTTTGGTAGTATGGCCAATTGGATAATATTGATTCTGTCTCTCTAAGAACAAGGGATGCCTTTTCATCTTCTAAGGTCTTCACTTTATTTCTTCAGTGTGTGATTTTTATTGTAGAGGTCTTTGACCTCCTTGGTTAGATTAATTTCCAAGTTTTGGTTTTGTTTGTTTTTGAGATTATTGTGAAAAAGACGATTTTCCTGATTTCTTCCTCAACTGAATCACTGCTAGAGTATAGGAAGGCTATTGATTTGTGGGTATTGATCTTGTATCCTGCTACTTTGCTAAATTCATTTATAAGCTCTGGAAGTCTTCTGGTAGAGTTTTTTGGATCGTCTAGATATATATCATATCAGTGGCAAAGACATAGTTTAACTTCTTTTTCTATTTGTGTCTCTTTGATTTTCTTTTCTTGCCTATTGTTCTGGCTCATGTTCATAGGACTACATTGAGTAAGAGTGGACAGCCTTGTCTTGTTTCTGAATTGAGTGGAAATTCTTTTAAATTTTTCTCCATTTGATGTGGTGTTGGCTTTGGGATTGTCATAAGTGGCCTTGACAATATTGAGATTTGTTCCTTTGATCCCTTGCTTCTCCAGTATTTTTAAATTTTTTTGTAGTTGTAGATGGGCAGCATGTCTTTATTTTATTTATTTATTTTTTAATGTGGTGCTAAGAATCAAACCCAGTGCCTCACAAGTGCTAGGCAAGCGCTCTGCCACTGAGCCACAGCTCCCAACCCTCTCCAGCATTTTTAACATGAATAGGTGTTGGATTTTATCACAGACCTTTTCTGTATGTATGTATGTATGCATGTAGATGATCATGTGATTTTTGTCCTTAATCACATTGATTGAATTGTGTATGTTGAAGCACTCTTGCATGCCTAGAATGAAACCCACTTAATCATGGTGTATTATGTACTTGATGTGTTTCTGAATGTGATTTGCTAACATTTTATTGAGGATTTTTGCATCTGTGTTCATTAGGGATATTGTTCTTAAAGTTTTCTTGATGCATCTCTGTCCGGTTTTGATATCAGGTTATACTGGCTTCATAAAATGTATTTGGGAGTGTTTCCTCCCTTTCAATGTCATGGAATAGTTGAGAAAGACTGGTATTAGTGCCTCTGTGAAGATCTGGTAGAACTCAGCTGAGAATCTGTCAGGTCCTGGGCATTTCTCTTTTTGAAGGCTTTTAATTGCTGTTTCAGTTTCATTACTTAATATTGTTCTGTTCAGGTTTTCTATATCTTCCCAGTTCAATTTGAGCAGGTTATTTGTGTCTAGAAATTTGTCAGTGTCTTTCAGATTTTCCAGTTTATTGGAGTATAAATTTTCAAAATAGGATCTGATAATCCTCTGGATTTTGGAGGAGTCTGTGGTGATGTCTCCTTTTTTACCTCTGATCTCATTGATTTGCTATTTCTCACTCTTTCTTTTGGTTAGTTTGGATAAGGAGTTTGCCAATCTTATTTATCTTTTCAGAGAACCAACTCTTTGTTGCATTGATCCTGTGAATTGTTTTCTTATTCTCAATATTATTGATTTTGACTATGATCTTAATTATCACCTGTCTTCTAATGGTTTGGGCGTTAGTGCTTCTTTTTCTAAGGCCTTGAGATGGAACATAAGCTTATTTATTTATGATGTCTCCCTCCCTGCCTCCTTCTATCCCTCCCTCTCTCCCTCTCCTCCAGCCCCTTATAGTACCAGGGATTGAAACCTGGGGTCCTTATCTGAGCCACATCCCCACCCATTTTTATTTTTTATTTTGAGACAGGGTCTCGCTAAGTTTCTTAGGGCCTCACTGAGTTGCTGAGGCTGTCTTTGAACTTGCAATCCTCTTGCCTCAACCTCCTGAGCTGCTAGAATTACAGGCATGCACCGCTGTACCCAGCTCTAATTTTTCAACGTATGCACTCAATGCTATAAATTCTCCTCATAGAATTGCTTTCATGTGGTCCCAGAGATTTTGATATGTTGTGTCTTTGTTCTCATTCATTTCTAAGAATTTTTAAATTTCTGTTCTCTATTTTTCTATGATCCATTCTTGATTTAAGAGAGTATTTTTCAATCTCCATTGAAATGACACAGTGTTTATGTCATTTCTGTTATTTTTCTTGTTGATTTCTGGCTTCATTTCATTATGATATGATACATTGGGTTATATCAAATTTTTTACATTTGCTAAGATTTGCTTTGGTGGCTGAGAATATGATTTATATTGGGAAAAAGTTCCATACACAGTTTGGAAGAAGTTAAATCCATCTGTTTTGAGATGGAATATTCTGTAGATGTTTGTTAGGTCAATTTGATTTATAATGTTGTTTAGTTTGGAGATATCTTTATTGATTTTTTTTGTTTGATTGACTTGTCCTCTGGTGTTAAGGGTATATTGAAATCCCCCAGTATTATTGTATTGCGGACTATGTGGGATTT